TCTTTGGCTAGATTTTACTTGCAATGGAATGTATAACATATAAAATATATTAAACATTATAAAATTTTTCATTTTTATCGTATTTTATTAACTTTGCAATTTTTCTTTTATATATAATGTAGCTTAAAAGTATTTCATAATAATTAATAGATATTATTTTGTGTAGTTACATAATATTTGTACTTTTCCTATTTCTTCATTTTTATATATTTTATGTAAATGTAAATTCACGCGTTTAAATTTAATTTCATTACAATGATTAATATAGATTTGATAAAATAAATATAGAATTCAGTTGAAAAGTGCATCTGTGAACTGGACGATTTGTATGTTAGGCTATTGTATCACTTGATTGTATGATTAATATAGTTTTCTTTTTGTTACATGTGATCATCGTTTGATTCATCATCTACTCGTTTTGATTTTCTTCTGCTTTTTAAAATATATATGTATAAAAAACGCATTTCTGAAGGCACACACTTATTTAGACACTATAAATTAAATATAATTATTTTTAATTTTCTTACAATATAACTGTACTATATATACTATCAAAGAATATTGTATTCTCACCGTCATCGCGTTAAGTACATACTATCGTCCAATGGTGGTCCCAGTGGTAACAAAAATGATGCTGAGTAGATAAAAAAGGGGACTTGTGGGTTTCTATATACTTCACTCAAAAAAAGTTGGCATAGAATCGCAACAGCAGAAAAAAATGAAAAAATGAAAATATTTACCTATTGTTTATACATTATGAACGATTAACTTATTTCTTTTCGCTACCTTATAGGTTGTTACTTTGGAAATCTACTTTAAATATATCCCCTGCAGGTATACTACCTTTACTTTCATTTTTTTCCAAGTGTACTTGCGCCTTGAATTTGTGGTTGTGCATGTGTATAACATATCTTCCACTCATGACGTCGCCATTTCATAATTATTTTCAACTAATTAACGATAAATAAAAAATATTTGATAAAATAAAGTTGAGCAAATAGTGTGCAATTAAGAGCACTTATTCATTTTATCTGCTGTTAAGATATTGATCTGAATGATATTACCCACGAAGTAGGAATGGTTGCCTATCACCAGGTGCGATTAACGTATTTGTATAAATAATACAAGAAAATTGATTAAAGTAAGATAAATAATCAATGATATTTAATTTTCAACCAATGACAATAATCAAAATAACGAATTAACATAAAACATTTGTATATCTCGTTAATAGATTCAAAAGGAATTTAAATATTCGAAATTTCAATTGAACGAACGATTTAAAACGTAGAAATGAAATATTTAATCAAAATATGTTAACTTATTTTTAAAATTGAAAAACGAGATCGTTCCCCTTGAGGGCATATTGAGAAAAAAAAGAAATAAAATAAAATATAAATAATGAAAAAGAAGGAAAATAAGAGAAAAGCAAAGAAGAGGAAGCTAAAGAAAAGGAAGTAGAAGTAGAAAAAAAGTAAAAGAAATATAAATAAGTAAAAGAAAAATAAATAAAATAAGAAAAAAAAGATATACCTATAAAAAGAAGAAAAATAAAAAAGGGCAAGTATGAAAGTTGGAAGGGAAAGGAAGCTGTAATACACGAAGTGGTAGCCTTCAACAAAGTTCGAGTGATGCGGTAGGGTGTCGTGAATGCGCATTGGCTTAGGAACTCCCCCGTATGATGTTGTTAACGCGCATCCTCTAGGTTTCCCGACCACAACCGTCAGTATGCGGTCGTGTATTCCACGCGGGCACACTTGTTTGCTATTTCTTCCTATAGCATTAGAATTTTAACGCGATTATGTTCACGCACAGACTTATGTGTTAGAGGTATAACACATACTGAGAGACATAGAGACTTCTTCATTAAGCGAGGTTGCATTAATTATATTTTTTTTTCTTTCTTTTTCTATTTCTCTCCTTTTTCTTTTGTTTTTGCATTAATCAAGAGTTAGATCAATTTTATGATAATTCAGGATAAATATCTATCGTTTTATTATGTATATATATTGTTTTTTTTTAAATTATTATTATTATTATTCAAGGCCATAATAGCATATAATAAAATATATACGTATCAGCTATTTAATTTAAAAATGTCACAAGTCAATCTTCTTTCGTTATTTTATTTCATTTATTTTCTATATTAAACTTTTTTATTTATTTATTATATTTAACTTCATTGTTTATATGCTTACGTATATTTTACGATTTAATTTAGATAATAATTAATTTTATAGATACTTACTTAAAATAATAATAATAAATAAAACAATTTGTGGATAATTATAAAAAGAAAGAGAAATAGATAAAAGGATAGACGTACAAGAAGGAAAAAAAGAAAAGAAGACAGGAAAAGAGATAGATAAATTTATAGATAGGCGAGCGGATTAAGTAAAAAGAAAAAAAGGATAAAGTAAGAGAGAAAAAGAAAGGAAGAAAGACAGAAATACAGAATAAAAAGAGAAAGAAGAATACGTTTAGTCGAGAAAGTGGAACGTCCTCGTGACTTCAACCACGTGTCTTCTCTCGTCTTTCTTGTCATAAACGTGTAAGAGCAATTTTCTTTCTATTGATGCTTCGTATCAGACTCCCTTATACCTCCGCCCTCACCCTTCCCCTTTGCTCCTAGTGTATCTTCTTCTTTTTCTTCTACTACTTCTTCTTGTTAATGGACATATCTTTGACAGGGTGATCAAACGAAGCAAAAAAGGAAGCTCCTGTGTGTTTCTTCTCTACTATCTTCTTTTTTACTTTTCTTATACAATTTTATCTTAAATGATCGATATTTTTGATCGATCTATCCAGTATTTTTACCTATGTACATTTTACTTGATTGTTTTTTTATTTTTACTTATATATTTTTTGTTTTTTCTAAGGATTTACACATTTTTAATTTGTTTTTTTTTTCTTTCATTCTTTCTTTCTTTTCGTCCGTTCGTTCGTGCGTTCGTTATTTTGTAAGGATTTATAGGATTTACATTTCCAATTGATCCACAGTCATTCTTTCTTTTTTTTTATTTATATTATTTACCGTTGCTTTGCTTTTCATTTTTTATTTGTTACATTCTATTTCCGTTTCAAGGATTTACGCGTGTTTGATCATCTTGTTTTTCTTTTTTTCTTTTTTCTACAATTATGCATGTTGCATCTTATTGATTAAATCCTGTTTGTGAAAAGTTTAATAAATTCATTTTAATTAGAATATAATTATATACAATCTTATTGTTATTGTATTTAATTGTTGAAAGATTAGAAAATTATTAATCGTTGTATTAAAATATATATATATATATATATATATATATATATATATCCTTTTCCTCTTCGTATGTAATACATTTAAAATAAGAATTTTGTTGATTGTAATTTTGATCCGTTTATAGTAGAGTGTTTGATATATTTATATATGATATTTTTTGTTCTTCTTTTTCTTTTATTAATAATCCGAATGATCGATAAAAAAATGCTTTCAATATTTACGGTCATTATGCACGTATACAAGAGACACTATTAGCACGTGCTTTCTTTCTCTTCCTCTCCCTCTCTCTCTCTCTCTCTCTATTTTTCTCTCGTGTTGAAGAATACGCACGTACCTTTATAACCAATGTAATACATATATCCTTACATACAGACATGCATATATGTATACATAAGACATCGGTGACAGTTGCAATTGGTCTTCCACTTCGATTGCACTTAAACTCCTCAGCTTTTATGTATCAACCCGTTAAAGAAATGTAAATCTGTTCGTTCAATATTTACACGCAGAAAAAAAAAGAAAGAAAGAAAAAGTTTCCTATGGAATAGTTTTACTGTCTGTATTAATTGTAAAAAAAAAATGTATCATTGTATTAATATTTGACTATTTTTCAATCGATATACACGTGTCACATTCATAAATATGTGAATATGCATATATGTGTATGTGTGTATTTGGTTGCATATAATAACGAGTATCTAATTGAGATCTTAATTAATTGCAATTTTGATGATTTTCTCACTTTCCTAATTGACAAATTAATAATTAATGAACGAATAGTACCAAGAGAATAATAACGTATATGTATGTACTTAACTACATACATAAATAAATTCGATAATATCGTATCGGTACATAATTATTTAATTAAAGTAACAACACTATATATCGAGAAGTTGTATAATTAATATTATACGTGTAGATCTATGTATGTTCCTTGCACAATGTTAAAAAACGTAAAGTTGATTTTAAAAATGATTTTATTATTGTAACGTATTTTTTATTTATATATGTAGTTTCAAATTAACGATTATTTTTTATAATTGAGGTTTAACTTCTTTAAAATGATGAAATTAAGCGAATGTATATGTACATACTATATGTACGTGTTGATTATAATTACGAAGATAAAATATATCAAAAAATTCTGTACAGAAATAAATTTCTTTTTAATACCGGTAAAAAATTGGTCATGCGTATATTATATTAATATGTGTATTTTCAAATTAATAAAAGAAAAAAAAAATTGTCGACAAAATTTCATTTCTTTTAATTCGAATATAAATGTTAACGTATACTATATATATGTATATTATTTTTTTTTTTATAGTAATTATATATTTTATCTTCGTAATTATAATCAATACGTACATAATAATATAATACGTACATATACTTTCATAGATAGATGTTTTATTCCGAAAGAAGAAAAAAAAAGAAAGAAAGAAAAAGACAATATAATAGTAGACTCTTGGTACAGAATACATGAGAGTGCGAGATAGAGAAAAAAAAAGAGAAAAAGAGAGAGAGATCTTGAGTGACACGTTCTAAAGTCTAACATATGTTTTAAGATTGCAGTTCATGCATACATAATACACACACATACATTTATAGTCGTATCCATTGAGATGGTTTTATGGTGACCCCTTCCCTGTCTATATGTACCTTTATGTCGAGCCTGAATGTGAATGGACAGAGAGAGAAGAAAGATCGAGAGATCGAAAGAAAGAGAGAGAAGTATCCTCGATGAGATAATACGAGTGGCTGTGATACGCCATTCAGGCCCGAACTCGGGCCCGTCGAATTGTGAGAGAGATTGAGAAGCGAGGGTGGACACATCATCTGCTATCATGCTCACCATAAAAAACGAGTGAGTATTATAAAATTAACATATTTATTAAACGCTTGGATTTTTATACTCTTGGATAATATAACGCTAAATTTACATCTAATTTCTTCACTCGTCGTTTTTTCCCGCTCATTTATTTTCTCTCTTACTTCCTCCAGTTTCTTTAATTCCTCCATTATTCCCATCTTTCTCTCTCTCTTTCTTTTTTCCTTTTTTTTTTTCATTTCTCAATATTAATCATCTAACCTTTCTCTTTCTCTCTCTTTTTCTCTCTCTTTTTCGTACAAATTTATTTTTTATTTTTTCTCTTACTTCCATATTTATCATTTGTTGTTTATTTTTTTCTTTTTTTTTCTTTCTCCTTTTACCCCTTTCTTCTCTTGTTCTTATGCTTCTAATTAATATTTACCCTTTCTCTTTCTCTCATATTTATTATTTAATTTATCTTTCCCTTTTTTTCTCTTACTCTCTCTCTCTCTCTCTCTCTCTCTCTCTTTTACTCATACTCATTATCTACCTTCCCAATTTCTTTTCTATTTCTTTCCTATTTATAAATAATACAACATTAAATATAAAATAAATAAACTGTTCTTTCTCTCTCCCTCTCTCTCTCTCTCTTTCTTTCTCTCTTCCTTTCACTCCTCTTTTTCTTATAATTAATATTTATCATCTCTCGCTATTCTCTTCTTCTTTTTTTTTCTTCTCATACTCATTATCTACCTTTTTTTCAAACTTGTTATTTACCTTCTCTCTTTTTAACTTTTTCCTTATTAATTTCTCTCATGTAATATTTATAAAATATCTACCGTAATACTTATTGTTATCAACTTTATCTTTTATTCGTTTACTATCTTATTCATATTTATTTACTTTGTGTTTCTTTTTCTTTTTTTTTAAATATTTATTCTCTAGCATCTTTCTTGTTCTCTTTCTTTCTTTCCTTCTTTTATTCTTTCTCCACTTATCTCTGTCTATCTTCTATCTTTCTGTTATCCCATCACTTGGTCTCGACGTCATTATCGATCTTACACGCTTCATTGCCACCTCACTTTTTTTTTTATAAAACTTACAATTAATTTTTATTTGATAAAAAGCAGTAAACAATGAAATTAAATACTAGAAAGTAGTACTTGAAAGTTCGATCGATTAATTGTAAGATTTTTCTTAGCATCTTCGTTACAAATATTTCAATAGTACATCCGTTTTCTTTTTTTGTCTCTTTTTTATACCCCTCCCCACCCTCCCCACCCCTCCCCGACCCTTTCTTTTCTATTACTTACTTTAATTTTATTATCAGGTATCGCCAAGGGTTAAGATTTTCAATTAGTTCGGTTATGGGTTATCGTTTATCATATTTTTAAATTGATATTATGCAAAATATTGAACAATTTACGAAGATAAATATGTTGTTCGTGTTTGCAATTTTTCACATTTTGATATTTATTTATTTATTTATTATGGTAAATTTTCTATTTTGATTCTTTTATCAAATAAAATCGTATATATTGTATTTTTATTGTTAGAAACAATCGTTTTTAATAAATACTTATCATCAATTCTTTATTACTTTTTGATATTACAAATTTAAAAGTACAAAATACTGTAGATGTTATTTGGTATTTCTCATAATCAGAAAAAGAAAGTTGTATCTTTTATGATTTATGTACTTTTCATAGAAACTTTTTAGTATTTTCCTTTTTTTTTCTCGATATCCTTATTTTCTTTTTCTCTCTCTCTCTCTTTTTTTTCTTTTTCTTTCTCTTTCCTTTCTCTTTCCTTCCAATTTCCGAAGGTAAGAAAGAAAAAGCAAATCTAAAGAAAGAAATAAACTGCTTGAGGTACAAAATAAATGTCAATAGTAAAAAGAAATGGAACTCTATTAATTTTCTTCACTTTATTTTTTTTTCTTTATCTCGTACAATCAGTTTCCATTGAAAACACTTCTTCTTCCTATTGACTTCTTTTCCAATCCTTTTCTATATTTTCAACAAAAATAGAAAGTGTCGTAAAGACGTAGACGACAATCTTGTTACTTTCAACTTTATTTTTAATAACACTTTTTTTTAAGTTTAATGACACTTTTCTTTTTATTTTTAAATTAATTGTAAGTATTTTAATGAATAAACGATCGAATATTTTGATCGTTATAAATAAATAATAAAGTTTTAAATATCAATTATATATCCCCCTCCCCCCAGAAATAATTAATTTCATAATATAATTTATTAATTTTCTAATATCGATCAATTATATTTATTTGGAATATTAATTAGAAATATTTATAAATATACTGAGCCGACAAATATGAACCAAGCATAATTAAATCAAGTTTCGTGTAAGTTTAACATTTCTTATACTATCTTTTATATTATCCATGGAATTTATTTTATTTTTTGTTTCTAAATTGCTAATTTGCATGATAGCATGCTGTAATTATAATGAATTAATTAAATAACCTTATTTTCTTACCCTTAGGCAGTCTTGACAAAAGGTTTCTCACGTAAACGTTCTTACATAATTTGTATCAATAATTAAAATGATCGAAAATTTGTAATAATTCAACTTGAAAGATTTCTTTTATTAATATTAACAATAATTATATAATAATAATTCATTGATTGTGTAATAAAGCAAAGAATTATGTATATCGTATTTTTATTTGTATATAAATTTTGCTGTTAACATTCGTCATAACTTTTTTATTAATGTTGTTTACATCGATTGATATTTAATATCATTATTTGTATTTGTATCGATGTAAATAATTGTAAATAATTACAGCATGTCACCACGAAACGGATCCTGCGTAGCAGAAGTAAGCTCAGTAAGAAGTTTATCATCGGAGGATGTATCAGCTAAAGCAAATCGTAAAAAATCATGTTGGGCACGTGCAACGGATCCTGCGAGTCGTCGTGGCAGAAGGATTCAATTATTGCAAATGTTGGTACTACCATTCATACCGATTTTAGCATTGATCGTACAAACTGCCAATACTCTCCATGACATTCTAATTTATCGGCAAGAAGTGTCCGACATTGAAACGCAGGTAAAAAAATTATTTTTATATATATTATTCTATTACTCTTATATATTTAATATACGCGTTTTAATCAAATTTTATCATTTTTACGACAAAATAAAGATTAACGAATTATAAGATTCATGAGGTGCTTAAATAATAATTTGTTTGGTATTTGAAAATTTAACAAATTGTAAAAAAGAAAAGGAAATTTTTTACACAAATCGATAATAAACTAATTAAAATGGTAATTATACTTAATTACTATTATACAGGTGGAATAGTATGTTAACAAATTTACTTTTATGTAGGATGTGTATGGTTGCATAATGTATAAAGCATACAATTAGACGGAATAAGAGTAATTCCTTGATATCGATTGAACTAATTAAAAATAACGAGTAAATGGTAAATATTCCACGCCTATATATGTTCTTACTTATGTAGGTACTCGATAAAGTTGACATAATACTATTTAACATTTTATCGATTATTAAAGTCTTTGTTTTTTTTTTTGGTTTTATTTACTTTTTATATTTCTAT